CGCGGCGCCGGCCCACGCGGCAGCAGACAGGGACGCGTCGGAGGAGGTCGGGACCTCGCGAAGTCCCCTCGACCAGTCCCTGCCCCGGGGACGCCTCGGCAAGACCTCGTGCAGTCGCCAGGCAGTGCGTCTAGCTGCATGTCCGCAGTGGGCACGGCGGCGCCCTGGGGCGCCCATCTGGGCCTGCGCGCGCCACCGCGCATGCCGGCGCTCCCCCGGTGGCCGACCTCGCGGGGCGCGGGCTCGAGTCCACCGAACGAGTCGCCGCGCTACCTGGCGAGCGCCGATCTATCGGGTGGCCGGCTAGGCGTCGCAGTCGACACTGGCGATTGGACAAACTTTTGGGGGCTGCGCTTCGCCGCGAATTTTTTGGCCCACGCCCAGAAGGCGAGGCTGCAATCCTCCAAGGAGTCGTCGACCCCGCCGCGCGTGGCAGGAGATGGCAGCGGGGCGCAGGTAGCGGACAGCGAGGTCCACTGACCCATCGCGGCGACTTCACGCGACGGCGCGACCAGTCAGCGCGGCGTGCGCGCGCTGGCCGCGGAGGGCGCGGGCGCAGACCTCCCTGCCCGTTTAGGTTTGCAGTCCGCGCGATCCAACGACGGGGCGGCTGAGACAGGCGCGGACCACAGTCGCTCCAGATTCCCCGGGCCAGGCGGCTACGAGATCACATGGGGCCGCAGCGCCGTCCACTTCGATCTGGAGTCTGCGATGAGCTGCCACTTGCGCATCTCTGTCGATTTCGGCGAGCTCCAGCCGCGCTTCGGGGGCCCGCCGCCCAAGCAACTCACGCTGCTGGCGGTGGGCAACGACGGCCAGGATAACGGCGTCACCGACGGCCGCGAGTTCGAGGAGCTGAAGATCCGGCTCATCCGCCCCGACGCACGGGCACCCAGGGCTGCGGGCTGCGACCTCCCACGCCTGCGCGGACGTTAGCATGGCGAGATTTGGTCGCGAATTGGCGTCGACGGCCAGGGTAGCCATAGCACCGCTGGGCACTTGCCATCTAATTACTCATCGCTCTGGACACGTCCTCAGGCGGGTCGACGTCGCGGGCGGCGTTGTGGACCCCGAGTTCCGCGGCGAGATGAAAGTGATCGTGTCGAACGCCGACCCGCGGGCGCAGGCGGTCGAGCAGGGCTGCCGAATCGCCCAGCTCATCCTGGAGCGCATCGTCAACGATGCTGAGACCGCGGTCGTTCCCGACTTTCCTCCGTCGTTCCGTGGATCTGGAGGCTTTGGACACGCTGGCGTGACATTCCCTGGCAAGCCTACATCGGAAGAGAGGGGGGGGGGGGGCGGCGCGACATCCGAGGGGTCTCTCGGCGGCTGCGTCACCGATCGAAGGCTTCATGGAGCTGCCTCGCCAGGGGGCTGCTGGGCGGGCCCGCCAGGCTGGCCGCGCCGACCAGCCCCAGCAGAAGTGGGCAGCAAGACCAGGGCGCCCCGCCTGGGTCCTAGACATCATTAGCACTACAAGACCACGGCCTCGACGTCATCCGCGCTTCCGACCGCCGCATGCCGTGGCTCACGTGCGACGCGAACGTGGGCGAGCCCCCCCCCATCTTCGCCACCCTCCCTAACTGGTGCGCCAAGGCACGGGCGCCAGCACCCGGATGCTGGTCTTTGGCCGGCATGGCAGACACAAGAAACGACCGGCATCACGGCGCACCGTCGACACCCGCGCGCCCCGCTGGAGCCGGGCGCGCCGCGAGCCTTTGGCCCCAGAGGCAAAGGCTAAACACAGCGGCGCTATCTTTACGGCACTCACCGAGGCGCCAGCTACAACTATCTGCGCCGGCGCAGCATCGAGCTGGAGGAGAGCATCGACGAATGGATTATCATTAACCGCAGAGCGCATTTGACCTCGATGTGCCGCGAAGCGTTGCGACTAGCGCCCCGTTGCAGTTGCCCTCCAACCAGCAGGGGCGCATCGAGAGAAGTATGCTTTCAACGAGGAACGACGGCTGCTTGTTCACGGGACTCGAACACCTCTTCCACGACGCCCAGCGCAACATCTAGGAACACGTGCACTCAACGCATCTCCACTGTCCACAACCGCTTTTCTGGAAAATTGCGCTCGAACGCCAAGGAACACAAGCAGGAACGACCTCGGGAGGCGCCTGGTGACTGCGTCACCAGCGCCTACCCGACGGCCGAGCGCACGCGCCAGAAGGAGAAGGCAAAGGAGGGCCATGTGCCCAAGACGCGCAAGCAGGTTGTCCAGGACCACTACGACGACTGCGGCTCTGACCTCACTGGTCTGGCCCCTTATCTTCTCGGCCTTCCAGCTTTTGGCGACTCTGGTTGCGACGACGGGTACGGCGAGCACGACTTCCTTGGCAACTTTACCGCAGGTCTGCCCACATGGTGGTTCCGAGGCACGTCTGCTCCCGAACCGCCCGCCGAGTTCGATGCCATCCACTCGCTCTTCACCTACCTCACTTCACTCGACTACGGCATCGACGTTACCGATGTTTGCGGTGGAGAAGCGCGGACTAGCAGGCTGGCCACGCTCAGCCGCCTTAGAGCCCGCGAGAATTTCGACTTCGTCACCAGCTGCGACCTCAACGACGAGAGCCAGCAACGAGCCTTGGAACGATATTTTCGACAACATCGGCCATGGTCCGACCTGCCCGCCCTTCGGTCGTTTGGCAACCTTCAACTACAAGCACAGCTGCCACACCTGGCTGCGTTCCTACGAAGGCGCAGCCCCCCATGGCCGATTCTGCGGCCACCTGGCACAACTGCAACTCGAGCTAGGCGGCTATTTCGTCAACGAGCAGCCCGAACAATTATAGCTGTACGACGAGCCGCCATGGCCCGAGGTGCTGGTAGCGCTGGGCGTGGGCAAGGGCCTGGGGCGCGTCTTAAAAGGGAAGCATCGGAACGGATCAGACGGCAAGACTGTCTGGATCATCTGGCGTCGAATGGCGATGATGGGGCTTCCGCGACATGGGCGCTGGAGCCCTGGGGGCGCTCGCTGGGGCGGCGAATCCGGCGTCGCGGCGCCAATTGTCCTCGGGGGCGGCGCATCGCCCAGATCAGGTGTGCGTCGCCGTTGGCGTCGAGAAGGCGTTCCGGCAAGGCGCGACCTAGTCCGAGATGTAAGAAGAAGGTCAAGCACCCCGCGAGGTGAATTTCACCCCGCCACGCGGCCCTGCAGCCGACCTCCGCCAGGTGCCCGGCTACGAGAGCTACGGCGAGCAGACTGAGCGCTTGCGCTACACCCAGTCGGGCACGGGCTGCAACGACGCGGCCCGAAACTTCTTGAAGCTCGCCCAGGTTACGCGATCAACAGAGTAGGGCACCAAGCCCGCTGGGCGGGGCCTGGAGCTTGAAGTCAAGCGCGAGACGTCGGGCGCTCGTGGCGCCAGCGCCTCGGAGCTAGAAGGAGCTCGTCGAACGGCGAATCAACCACATCGAGAGAGTTGTCGACAAAACCAGGGATAATTCGGGTGATCTCACGAATTTCGGAGTACACCAGCACCGCAGTGCCGATGGCACCGCGACGCTTGACCAGGACGAGTGCATCGACGCTCGGGCACCGATCATACATGTCGACCTGGTCAAGACATAGGCTGACGAACCAGGTGGAGGTCATCTTCCAGACCTCTCCCTCCTGGGAGCAGCGGCCTGCGTCCTGCTTGCCCAGCGCCACGTCGATGCGTGCATCGCCGCCCTGCAGCGAGCACAGAACAACCTTTTCATCCGACGCTTGATGCAGCTCAACTGAGATGTTCTGGCCATGCAGAAGATTCAGGCGCGCATCGCATCTCGAGCCATGGAGTGTGCCAGGCGACCCAGCGCACACAGCTACGGGTCTTTTAAGAGGGAGGAGGAGACGGCATGCGGCTCGAGAGGGGCCGCGTACATGCGTCTCGGCAAGTGCCGCCGCACCGGCAAATCTGTCCACTCGTTGGACGCAGTGAGCCAGTCGCACAAGGTGGCGTGCAGATCTTCGTTCGGCTCCGAGCTAGTGCTCGCAGCATGCGGCACGGACTGCAGGCGCACCTCGCACTGCGCGAGATGGTGCACGGCCCCGCCCATGCCGAGGATATCAGGAGGCTGGAGGAAGAAGGATACGCGGTCCTTGCAGATATTGTCATCGACGGCATGTCCGTCTTCAGCGCCCTGCTCATGGACCCGGTGCGGTCCCCCTCCGAGAACAGCATGGCAGGCATCTGCTGTGGTTAGCTGACCAGCTGCGCACCAGACAAATCGAGGACCTACTCTGGCGCGACACTCGGGATATGCTGGCCGGCCCCATGACCAAGGGTAACATTGGCCCAGAGCTCATCCTCAGTGTGACGGGCGGCCAGATCAGCGATGACCACGACGCGGTCAAGTTCAGCGACGGGAAAAAAGAATGCCGCCCCGAGCTTCCAGCACAATTCTCTCACCCAGCACTGAAGAGGTGACTCGTGCGACTGCGTCACAAGGTCGGCCACCGTAGCCCAGCTTTTGTCCGCTCTCCAGGGTACAAGTCGACCTGCCCAGCAGCTACGAGATCGTCAAGTTCTGCGGGCATGGGCGGGCGAAAGCTAGGGAGAAACTGAGCACTCGATTGAGTGCTGCTTCTGCTGACTGGGCCAACTGAGCGGCAGCAGGCATTAGCATGTGCTCCACCAGCAGTCTCTCGAGCGCGGTCAGCACAGCGCTCATTGCAGTCATGTTCACGGGTGCCAGTGACAGGTTGGCAATAACGAGGTCACGACGGACTTGCTCGAGCACCAGACTCGAGCAGTAGGCCTTCATGTCCTGCCGGTCTCACCCCACCCCTTTGCCTTTGCTATCCGCTGCCACTTTCCAGCAGGATCCTTGCCCCGTGCCGCGTCTTTCCCATCTTCCCTGAAATCAATTTATCTGCTTTCCTCCTCCTCCTCTTCGGCCTCCTCGTCTTCCTTCTCCTCCTCCTCCTTCTTCTTCTCCTCCTACTCTTCCTCCTCCTCCTTCACCTCCTCGTTGCTTCCCCTCCCAGAACCAACTCGCGCTGGCAGGTCAAGCTCGCCGCCGACCCGTGCGGATCCCACAGCGAGGCAGCGCCCCCTCGTGGCTCATCTTGCCCTGGTCTCTGTGGCAGGTGGCGCGCGTATTCCTATGATTGTTTTTCTGCCCGATTCGTCCGATTCGAGTCGAATCGATTTCGATCGAGTGCGGTTCCGGTTCGATTACAAATTGGATTCCGATTTTAGACTTCGGTTTTTCAATGGAGGCCTCACCAGCCAGCCGATTTCCGCCGATTCGGCTTCTCCTGATTTGGCTGCTGATCTCCGTCTGTCCGATTCACTTCCCGAATTATCGATTGGATCTTGTGCGATATCAGATCTACGTGCAGATGTGTGTGTATGTGCGTGTGCGCGTTACCTGCAGCTGCTGCTTTCGTCACATGGATGCCAATTCGATGTAATCGCGACCCAGTGTTTTGTTTTGTGATTTGGGTTCAACCGCGCGTTGTAGGACCGATTGTGTGTGTGCGCGCGTTCATGTCCCCCCTCCTCCCCCCCGTGGATCTCAAATCGCTTGTACGCCAGAGGACGCCCTTCATCGTTTTTCAGTTCGTCAGGTGCGGCGTGTGGCTGTCTCTTGACCTACTGTCACGTTCGGTCAATTGCATGTGTCGTATGCAACTTCTCATCGCACCTGGGAGAGCACGGCCTTGATTTGAGCGCAGTCGTCACACGCACTATTGTAATTCGTGTTGGCGCGCCCAGTTAGTACATAACCAGTTGTTGGCGCAACGGTGTGGGGAACACATGTTCCGGTGCGTTCGCGCTCCTGAGCGAGATGCTGCGCGGAGACACAGGCATCGCAATCCCTGGAGCAGCGGGCACTGGCACACACATGGTGACACACACACACACACACACACACCCGTGGCGTGTGTGCGTTGTGTGTGTGTGTGCACCTGGCGGCACGCACGATGGAGGAATTCTTCGGTCCAGTCCCGGGTCCCCGGTCCCCAGTCCCCGGTCCCCGGTCTTCAATTCCCAGTCCCTGGGAGTCCCTGGTACCCCGTACCCCGTCCCCGGTCCCCGGTCCCGGGCCACCCGTCCCGGTCGTCCTTGGTCCGAGGTCCCCGGTCCGCGGTCCTTGGTCCCTGGTCCTGGTGGCCCAGGTCTTGGGGACTGGGGACCGGGGTCCCAGGTCCCTGGTCCTGGGTCCCAGGTCGACCCTCGGTCCTCGGTCCCTCGGTCCCTGGTCCCCGGTTCGATCCCTGTTCCCCAGTCCCTGGTGCCCAAGTCCCCAGTCCCTGGTCCCCGGTCCCCAGTCACCGGTCCCGGGCCCCGATCCCCGGTCCCCAGTCCCCAATCCATGGTGTCCGGTCCTTGGCCCCCGATCCCCGGTGCCCAGTGCCCAGTCCTCGGTCCTTGGTCCCCAGGAGAACGTGTCCAAAAGTTTGAGGCGGCGTGCGCAGTGTCCAAAAGTTCCGCGTCCGAAAACCAAGGCTTGCGCGTCCGAAATCGTAAGGTTCCCGTGCAGGCGGCGACATAAGATTTATATTTGGACATGGACAACGACACCTGCCAGTGTCCAACAAACAGCCGAATGTCCAACATGATGTTTTTGGGACATGTTTGCACACTTTCGTACACGAGTGTGGACATTATCGCTTTCATGGTGTCGAGTATGTGTGTTTGTTAGACGCCATGTGCTTCTTTATACACGCTTGAACATTATTCGGCATTTATTGGACACGAGACCCAGCGCGGATAGCCATAAGACGACGGCGATTGGTTTGCTGTTGACGTCTGTCGGGCCGACACAGCCTTGCCTGCTGTCCATCAATAATAGGATTTCACGGGTTCGTTTCAGATGATGTGGATGTCCGTGCTGTCACTCTTGATGCGCGCTACGGCGCAAGCTTCGGGGGTCAATGCGAATCACGGCGATCACACAGATGAGCCATACTGAAGATGATGACTGGGGCGCGGAGACGACATGCGGGTTAAGATGGACGCGGAAATGAGGATGAATCTGATTATGGGGAGGTGTCGAGGGCCTCGGAATGAGGTGGGGAGGAAGATGCTGACCTGGGTGGGCATGCGTATAAGATGCAGTTGGGGATGGGGATTACTATGGACTATGGCGATGTAAATCGGCATGCGGATGATTCCAGGGCTAATGAGGTTAAAGAGGCAGGTGGTCATGAAGCAAGGATGGGAACGGCGATAGCGATGAGGATCGTGCTGGAGATTTTGGAACGAGCGAGGATGAGGTTGAGGGTGATATTCAAATGGCACTGAGGAATTGGATGAGGACGGCGACGTGGACGGCGATGAGGTTGAAAGGGCGAAGATGCGAAGGAATGGGCCGAGATGGATGAAGGGCAGGAGCTCGAGCCTTCAAAGAAACGAGGCCGACCACGACGACGAGGACGGCGGCGACGACGGGGAGACCAGACAAGGCTTCAGGATCCCATGATCAAACCGGCCACGCCAGTTCCAGAGCGGATCTAACATGAAATGCAATGATCGGATTTTCTCCGCACTCCCCGTTCAAAAGATTGCCTTGCGCGCCAAGCGCACTTGTCGCACCGGGCAGAGTTTCATGTTCGGACGTTTGTATCCTCGTCAAGAAGGCCGTGCTGACGCCCGCCACCCGCGCCCCAAAATGTCCATCATTTTTTGCTTGTACTAGAGCACGTTAGACACTCATGGTTGTTACTTTTTTAAGCATTCCGAGAACCATGTCGACGCCCCAATATTTTGCATATGTTAGGACCTTTGTGGCGCCGCGCTGAGGCTGGAGCATCGGAAATTCCATAACCAGCCACAAAGTTTTAGACGCGTTCTTTTGGTCCCCCGTCCCCAGCACACTGGTTCCTGGTCCCCAGTCTCCAGTCTCGGTTCCCCGGACCCTGGTCCCCGGTTCCTGGTCCCCGGTCCCCAGTAGTTGGTCTTTTGTGCCCAACCCCCCGTCCAGGGCTGTGGCCCCCGACGGAGCGGGATCGATAATTTTTTTCGGAGGGTATAATTTTGTTACATTGTTCGCACGCACACACACCTAAGACTGGGTGCTCTACAAACTTTGTTCTGGTCCCTGGGGCGCGATCCGCGTGAGGGGTTGCCAAAATTGTTTGGCTGGTCGGTCGATTGGTGGGTTCGATCGTCGGTCGGTTGGATGGCCCGTTGTTGGGTTAGCTCCCTGGTTCGCCCGGTTAGCCCCCTGTTGGTCTGGGAGAAGCCAGGACAGAGCCGGTACACAGCAGGTTCATGTCGGCGCTGGCTTCGGACATCGCGTGGAACGTTTTAGGGACCGGCACAGGGGGACCAGCTCAGGGGGACCGGCTCGGGGGGGGGACCCGCTCAGGGGGTGAAGCCTTGGAATTGGTTGGATCATTGGTTGGTTGCTTGCTTGGTTCGTTGGTTGGTTGCTTGATTGGTTGGCCGGTTGTCTGTTTGTGTTTGTTGTTTGGTTGGTCAGTTAATTTGTGGTCAGGCTGGTTGATTGGTTGGCTGGTTAGTTGGTGAGTTGGTTGCAGGCGTTTGGCTTGTTGCATGGGTGGTTGGTTGGTTGGTTGGTTGGTTGGTTCGTTGGTAGGCTGGTTGGTTTGTCGGTTGTAGGTTGGCTGGTTGTGCAATGGTCTGTTGGTTCGTTGTATGGTTGGTTAACTGGTGATTTGGTTGATTGGTTGGTTGGTTGGCTAGCTTGTTGCATGGTTAGTTGGTTGGTTGGCTGGTTGGTTGGCTGGTTGGTTGGTGGGATGGCTTGTTGGTTGGCTGGCTGGTTGGTCAGTTGGTTGGCTGGGTGATTGGTTCTCTGGTTGGCTGGTTGGTCGGTGGGTTGGTTGGCTCGTTGGTTGGTTCGTTGGCTGGTTGGTTGGTTCATTGGCTCCTGGTGTCCGCTTGGAGCCATCTTGAGAGCCTCTTGGGGGCTTCCTGTTGGTTTCAGGCAAGCCTCGGAAGGGTGCCCAAGAGAGCTACACGTGGTCCTCAGGAGAGCCCTCCTGGTTTTTAGGCAGTCTTCGGTCTTTGGTGGCGTCGTGGCATGCGGCGCTTTCTGTTTTTCTCTGTGGCTATTGTCGCTGTGCCCATGGGATTCCCAGTGAGGGACTTGTGGCACAAGGGCGCATGGGGCGACGGCGCAGGTTTTCACGATTTTGTTTCATCTCGACTGTTTGGGAGATGTCTTTGGCGTGGCCACGTTTCTCTTCGTGGTGATGGTATACCTCCGCGTCTTCATCTCCGGAAGGTATACTGCAGTTTTTGAGGGCACGGAGTCACCATGTCACGAAGTTGTCCAGCTTCACCGCGGGGGAAAAAATGCAGTTTTGGAGCCCGCATTAATTTCCAGTGTTGGGGGTGACGCCTTGTGCCTAGTCCGCGATTGCTGTGTGATTCTGCGTTGCTGCAGGCACGGGTCGTACAGTCAACCCGCATAGTAAGGATGGGCAACCTTCCCGAGGGTACCCCTGCATCCTTGCCTCCTCGGTCCATCCTTTGCCGCTTTCACTGGCCGCGCCCCGCTCGAAAAGCTTCGAAATGGGCGTCCAAGGCCCGTGCGTCCTTATCGCGCATCCTTACTATACTGGTTGACTGCACTCGGTGGCGATCGGCTTGGTAGTGTCGGCTGTTTTGTGTGGTCGTGTGCCCCGCCGCACTACGTCATATTTGTGCTGGCGTCTCGGGATCACTACGTCGTGCGCGCCGTGGTTCGCTGGTTATGCTTTTACGCGGTTCTCGAGGTGGGCCTCGTCGCTTGTACCCGCGACTACGGCGTTGACGACGGGTGGGTGCAGCGCTGTCTCGGGGTCTTCGTGTTGTTCCTCGCGGGCCTCGTGGTGGCGGCACTGGCTTGGCTTGACCAGAGGAAGTGCACGGCTGCTGTAAAACATCCTCTTCAAGTCCTCCTCATACTCCTCCTCGTCCTCCATTCTTTCCCCATGTAAATAACAAGAGGCACGCGTGCCAAGGATCATACAGTTGCGGATGTGGGACAATGGGAGATGGAGATGGCGCCAACCAGTGGTAGTTTCGGGGAAGCGCGCGGGTGCTGCGACACGTTTGCGAGTGACCATAACTGGAGAGCGGCGAAT